ATAGAACATCACATACAAAACCAACATTCATCACTAGACTTCTCTTCATCTATTTTCGTTACTTACAAGCAATACTCCCGAGTCTCTCAGCTGATAGAACATCACATACAGGACGAACCTTCATCACGAGGCTTCTCTTCACCTATTTTGGACACTTACAAGCAAAGCTGCCGAGTTCCTGAACTCATACAACATCACATAGCAAGCGAACATTCATCACCAGGCTTCTCTTCACCTATTTTGGTCACTTACAAGCAATACTCCCGAGTCCCTCAGCTGATAGAACATCACATACTAGACGAACATTCATCATCAGACTTCTCTTCACCTATTTTGCTCACTTAGAAGCAAAAGGTCCGACTCCCGCAGCTCATACTACATCACATAGCAAGCGAACATTCATCACAAGACTTCTCTTCACCTGTTGTGCTCACTTACAAGGAAAAAATCGGACTCCCTCAGCTCATATCACATCACATATCAAACGATCATTCATCATTATACTTCTCTTCACCCATTTTTGCTCCCTTACAAGGAAAGCTTCGGACTCCCTCAGCTCATGTAACATCACATACCGAATGAACATTCCTAAAAAGACTTCTCTTTACCTATTATGCTCACTTACAAGCAAAGCTTCCGAGTTCCTGAACTCATGCAACATCACATAGCAAGCGAACATTCATCAGGATACTTGTCTTCAGTTGTTTTGCTCACTTACAAGCAAAGCGTCTGACTCCCTCAGCTCATATAACATCACATAACTGACGAAACTTCATCATCAGACTTCTGTTCACCCATTTTGCTCACTTACAAGCAAAGCTTCGGACGCCCTCAGCTCATGTAACATCACATACCAAATGAGAACTAATAATAATGCTTCTTCTCACCTATTTTACTCACTTACAAGCAAGGCTTCGGAGTCTGAACTGATACAACATCACATAGCAAGCGAACAGTCATCACAAGACTTCTCTTCACCTATTGTGCTCACTTACAAGAAAAAGTTCCGACTCCCTCAACGG